TAAAATAGAAAATAAATTAATCGTTTACAGAACAAATAACACACAATTAACAATATATATATATATATATATATATATATATATATATATATATATATATATATATAATAAAAAAAGAAAAATTATAATTTCTTTTAAACACTTCATTGGATATTCCGAGACAATTTTTTGAACAAAAAACCCCCGGGAAACCCCAAACCCGAAATCAAACTTTTAAAAATTCTCTTTCCGCTGTTCTGTTTGTTGTTTTTTTTAAAAATTTTTAATCACCCCATCGCATGTAAAGTAGTAAGTCAAATACAGTATATTCAAAAAAAAAACGCCTCAAGTTTTTCCATCAACCCCTTTCCCTGTGTTCCCCATTTTAAGGATGTGTTTCTTTGACGAAGTTTTTTTTCTAAATAAAATAGTCCTTTAGTTTAACAACCCAAGTCGCCCCCCTACGTTATAAAACATCCAATGCTATCTTTATTAAACATTGACGTTGGGATAAGGTAAGCCCTTTTCCCCTTTTCCAATTTTAAAAAGTTTTAACTCTTCTTTTTTTTCATTTTCCCTTAAAAACAGGTTCGCTCGGGTTCAAAATCTTTTTTTTCGCTCAAGAAAACCACTCTTTCCTTCCTTATTCTTCTTCTACCCCTTCTTTTTAAGACACGGTGATCATGGCTCCACAACTACCCTATTTTCTATTTTTTTTGGGACATTTAAATACCTCTTCCTCCATTTCTTCCTCAAAACTATTTATCGCCCCTAAAATTCCCCTCTAATTTTCACCTTTACAGTCACCTTCTCTTCATCTATATGATATTTTTTTTTATTCTCTCTGCTTCCCCCTTTTTGGGCCCATTTGTTTTAAAAATTTGGGTTTTTCCCCACCTAAATCTAACGAGATAATAAAAAATAATAAAACTCAAAATTAAAATTTGGTTAATATTTAGTGAATGGGGAACAAAATAGTCCCGAAAAAAAAATAGGCATTCTCCCCCTTCCCCCCTTACTTGTCCAAAGCCATCATACATCCTACAGTTTCGCATAATTGAACTGACACCATTTATCAGCTCACAAACATGAAATATCATACTGTCGTTAGGATAACCAGTTACGATTCAAGTTTTCAACATTTAAAATGTGAAGTACTTCAGCTAGTCGCTTTAAATTCTGAGAAACAATTCAAAAATTTTGAGGTATGATTGTTCTGTTTTACGTTGAAGTGCAAAAGAATTTATACGGATTCTCAGAATAGAATTTATTTGACGGATATCACACAGAAAAACAAAATGTTGATGCCTTGAATGTATTTACAACAAGACATGAATACCTTGTTCTTCTTATCAACAAAATGGCATGAAAAAGAAATCATCTAATATATATATGAAAATATAAATACAAATATAACAACAACGTTATTCGTTAATTCGTCAAGCAATAAAAAAAGCATGCATTGTACCACAATTGAATATATATTATTCTGATGGTTTAACGTAAACCTTCAGCAATAATGTGGCAGGAACGTTTTCAGAGACAGCTTGAAAATTATTGCGATGAACGATTAAATTTCGTTTTTGGAAAATTTTAATTCTTTTTTATATTTATTTTACCGTTTTAATAAGATTTATAGATTTCTGTCGTTGTTCGCTTGTATAGTACTAACGATTGTAATCCGCCGAAATTGTAATTATCCAGCAGAATACATATATTCACACGCTCCGTAAAATCGTCTTCTTCATTTACAACCAGCGCGTGTTTTTTATCGGTTGAATGTAGAAAAAAGTGCTGCCAATTGGAAAGAGATATTTACGAGGTGATATAAAGAAATCGCTAGGCATAATTGGGGAAATAACTACAACAACAGCCATGTGATAGAAAGGAAATTTGACTATCAGACGGACTTTTCTATGGTAGATCAGTTGTCAATCATGATAACACGTAAATTTGACTTGCCGTACGGAGAAAAGACATGGGCAACAGGGATTTATAGGACCTGCGACCACAAACAGAACAAGCAAACTAACCCCTTCCAAAAGTCTTTTTTTGTTCTAGAAACAAATAGTGTTGAACTGTTATGTAATATATAATCTTATATATGCCAATACTAGACAATGTCCACATATTGGAAAAGAAACTGTCAAAATAATAAAGATGTTAGGTAACGAAGAAAATTAAATGAAAATAGGAATCAAAAGAACACATACCGCTTAGAATCAATTGGATAGAAAATCTGAAGGTGAATGGGATGCCTTCCAAAATTACCAAAAGTACTAAGAAAAACAGAAAAAATTTTTCAAAATACTTACTATGAACTAGTTTCAAAAAGGTCCTCCCTATATAGTAGTTAATGATGAAGAAGTCCTTAACAGATGAAGAAGAGGGTTTGATTTCGAAATAGCAATCATAAGAAGGATAAACCAGAATATCACAGAACTGAGTAACGACGAGGCTTTGAAAAATAAACAAAAGGACATAATTATATCAAAATATAAACAGTTGAAATTTAGACGTGAAAGTGAATGTGAAAAAGAATGCTTGGAGATTTTGGACGTGTACTATTATAATAACGCATTGAATATTGCGTCAGAAACATATATGAGGTAAACGGTAAATAGAAAAATGGATGAATTTAAGATTATATACAGAACATGATTATTTAAAGTAAAAAAAGATGCAGAAGGGCCAGATGAAACTGAAAATATCTAGTTAACGTTTGTGCAAACTGATGGCAGAGCAGGGACATTCCCCTTATGCTTGTCCAAAGTTTAGAGCAACAAAATGTCAGGAAGTTGTGGAGAGCCTTTTCATTGACCTCGCAGATAAAAGAATTAAAAAATTCAGGTGGAAAATTCGCCTTAAAAAACTGAAAATGTATAACATATGGATCTTTTAGGGGTATTAACTATAGATAGATAGTTGTTAACATGAACTATTTATATGTACACTATTTCTGATTCAGATTATTCATCTATTATATGTAGCTCTATTTTACAATTATGAACGTTTTAGGCCAAGAAAGAACTGAAAGAAAAGAAGGAAAAAGAAAAAACTGAAAGAAAGAAAAGAAAAAGAAAGGAAAAAGAAAGAAAGAAGTGAAAGAAAAAAAAGAAAAAGAATGAAAGAACCGAAAGAAAAGAAGGAAAAAGAAAGAAAGAACTGAAAGAAATAAAGGAAAAAGAAAGAAAAAAGAACTGAAAGAAAGAAAAGAAAAAGAAAGGAAAAAGAAAGAAAGAAGTGAAAGAAAAGAAGAAAAAAGAAAGAAAAAACTGAAAGAAAGAAAGGAAAATGAATGAACTGAAAAAAAGGAAAAAGAAAGAAAGAACTGAAAGCAAGAAAGAAAAAAAAGAACTGAAAGAGAGAAAAAAAGAACTGAAAGAAAGAAAGGAAAAAGAAAGGAAAAAATGAATGAAAAAGAAAAAAGAAAAGAAGGAAAAAAAAAAAAGAACTGAAAGAGAGAAAAAAAGAACTGAAAGAAAGAAAGGAAAAAGAAAGAAAGAAAGAACGCTAAGAAAAGAAGGAAAAAGAAAGAAAGAACTGAAAGAAAGAAAAAGAGAAAATGAAAGAAAGAGTTGAAAGAAAGAAAGAACTGAACGAAAGAAAGGAAAAAGAAAAAGAACTCAAAGAAAGAAAGGAAAAGGAAGAAATAACCGAAAGAAGGAAAGAAAGAAAAATGAAAGAAAGAACTGAACGAAAGGAAGGAAAAAGAAAGAAAGAACTGAAAGAAAGAAAGGAAAATGAAAAAACTGAAAGAAAAGAAAGAAAAATGAAAGAAAGAACTGAAAGAAAAGAAGGAAAAAGAAAAAAGAACTGAAAGAAAAAAAGGAAAAAACTGGAAGAAAGAAAGGAAAAAGAAAGAAAGAAAGAAAAAAAGGAAAAAGAAAGAAAGGACAAAGAAAGAAAGAAGTGAAAGAAAAGAAGGAAAAAGAAAGAAAGAAGTGAAAGAAAAGAAGGAAAATGTACAAATCTGTAAAAATGTCGCTTGTCATTAGAATAACTGTTATAATGCAATCAACTCAAAAAATGAAAATGAAAAATAATGGGGTCTTCTTGAAATAATAATAGTATAACATGTTTTAATAGTATATTAGTTTAACAACTGACGTTAGTTGTCTTGACAAAACTGTTCATGATAAAGAAATATATATATATATATAATTATATATATATATATATATATATATATATATATATATATATATAAATTAATCAACTAAGGAAAAATTTCAAGATGAGTACGATCATCATATTATGCATGTTTCAGTTGCGCATCATTCAAAGTCCGAATAATGCAATAATCATAATACCTCATCTCAGAGATATAGATAAGGGTAAATATTTTATGGTCTACTATATATATATATATATATATATATATATATATATATATATATATATATATATATATATATATATATATATATATATATAAATACTAAGAAAGTACTATAGAAAACGAGCTTTCACAATGGAAAGTAACTTTTTATACAACCGATTCACATAGAAATTGACATTTTTCCTGATGAAGTAAAAAGAAAAATTTGAATTTCTATATTCATATATAATAACCAATCAGCGACGTTATTTTTCAAAGCGCGGAGACATTTAAAATTGCAGACGACTAGGATTATTGTCTTCTATTAGATTTTGTTGGATCAATTTAGAAAATGAATAATATTTTTCCTCCTTAAAATAGATATTTAATATTGGGAAAATATTTATTTACAAACAGCTTATTAGTTTCATAATTTTTTTTTTCTGGTGGAGATATTTCAGTTATAAATGAGATCATATTTGTTAGTTTTCCAGTTAACCTTTGACCAGGGTGGTGGTTCGTTTTTGTACAAAATGAAGTTTTCAAACTATAATTAATTATATTTCGCATATTTATTCGAGTACACTATATTACCAAAAGTCTCAGAGATGTTGGATGCGTTTCATCTGTATTAACGCGTTGATTTCTATTAAAACCCTTTTTCTCAAGACTAGCAAGATTGGTACAAAGACTGAAAAATTTTGTGGCATATTACATTTTTATGCATGAATACAATATTTAAGTATAACGTGAAGAAAACAGACACTGCGTCTTTTCTTTTTTTATATCGTGTTCTTTTCCTCTAACTTGGCGAAGTTTTGCAACGCGAAACTTTCGAGAAAAAGAATAATATTATAATTCTTATGTTTGAATCCAAAATTTGATGTGCTGAATCAAAACCGAAGTGGGTAATAAGGAATGTCATTGTTATTTTTTTTAATTTCAAATAATCCAAGAATCCAAATAAAGTTGACATTTGCGTATGAGTGGATGGCGAGATGTCCTCTTCCGAAACATTATTCTGTTTCTGCTATAACGTGCTTCGTAGCAGTAAAAACTAATTCTTCGGTGACTTTGCCGTGGCGCCTAATTAATTAGTCTAAATGCTGACCCCCAAAAAGTTTGTATAAGATGATATATGACACAAGATCCAGATTATTGTGGGGGAAACAGAGCGTGTCCGCTCGGGCCAATTATCAAAGTGCTGGCTCTGGCATATTGATAGGCCATTCTTTTCAGCCGAGTCCGCGTCCGTAAAGAGTTCCGCGACGGAGTCACAATCTACCCAAAGACAGAGATCTTGACAGTCGCGGGTCAGGAAGCACATTGCCTGACTTCAACGTTTTCCAAATCTCCCATATAATTTGTATTAAGTTATTTCATCAATCTCTCTTAGTAACTATTCAACTATCAGAAAATTTCACGATGGCTACATTTCTGTCGTTTTGGAGCTTGAAGAAGACAGACATACAATCGAAACATTGATGAACGTTGTCAAATACTGCGTTTTTTAACCGTAAGTTAAATGATTTATTATTATTATTATTATTATTTTAGGTAGCTACTATAAATTATATCCCAGTCTATCAAAGCGGAAAGAAGAAATTTGTCATTTGTTAACTTCCACTTGAAATCCAGAGCGTGGATTTCTGGATCCGGCAAGGCCTAAGAATTAACAAAAATGGCGGCAGCCGTAGGCATCAAATTACGGATAGACACAGGCCTTGATGACTTGGGTAATCGTAATATTTGCGGTGTGTTGGATGCCCAAAGAAGCAAGCGATGCAAATATGGCTTCGTGAAAAACCTTTGAACAATAGCAGAAATGAATCAACGCTCAGTGGGTGGGGTTACTAAGTGACCTATACATTAATTTGTCTTCAGTGATAACTAAGGTGTTGTAAAAAAAAATACGTTTAATCTGTTAATATACAACTACACACACACACACACACACACACACATATATATATATATATATATATATATATATATATATATATAAAATAATAAATTTCTTTATTAAGAAATTTTTGGTTTGAAAGAAATGAATATATAGAAATATTCACGAAATAAGTTATAACCAAAATGGATCTTTTAAGGTTTTCTTTTGATTCCTTATTAGTATAAAGCTCTGTATTTTACATTGAGATCTCTCTGGATTAATATCCTCCTTGGAATTATCCCTATCAGTCACGAATGGTATATATATATATATATATATATATATATATATATATATATATATATATAGTGGTCTTTTCATTTTAACCCCATTGGTATGGTCAAAAAAATCAAAATGAATGCATATAAACACACACACACTCGCTCACGCATATATATATATATATATATATATATATATATATATATATATATATATATATATATAGACGAGAAATTTACAAATGGAAAACATGTTATTGACAATAGATCTGATTTGAAAATTGATTTGATTTTCAATTAAACGTTTACCATTTGTTAAAATTCTTGTAAAGTTGCCAGGATTACTTTTAGTTAACACACACATTCCATATATATATATATATATATATATATATATATATATATATATATATATATATATATATACAAAATTTTATATACTATTGTTAAAACACAAATACGCATTACTCATATTGTTTAAAATTTACGATTTTGCTGTTGTGCTTTTCATCAACGAGTGCCGAGTTAGCATTGATGGTCCAGACATATGTAGCCATACTAGGGCTTATAGTTTCATCCACTGTTCTGGCCAAAGGTTGATGTTCTGATGTAGTATTATACATGCTGAAATGATAAATCTATGGAGGATTCTACGATAAGAGCTCAGATATACATTAATTTTCATGAAGGTTCAGGTAGTGCCATATTTCAAGAAGAATACAAACATACAAGAATTTGTGTTGACATCCTTTTTATATAATGGCAAAAAAAAAATAATATCAGGATTGGAATTGTTTGTTTGGTTTGTTTGTTTAAAATAGATGAGCCCTCAATTAAAATAGAAGATGAATGGCAACTAAGATGGTGTTAGAATTGACTGACCGAGGGAAACGATATGAATATAGGTTTCTATTGGAAACAATGAAGTATCATTACTGCCACAAAATTTTTCAAATGGACTAATACCGCCATCTTTGTTGTTATTATCGAAAATGACATAAGCGTCTGAGATGTTAACAATGGCGAAGAGGTGGGAGGAATATTTTTATATGCTGCAATGGTGTGTCCATGATCAATTCCAGATAGTGTTAAGATAGTACGCACACACACACACACACACACACACACACACACACACATATATATATATATATATACATATATATATATATATATATATATATATATATATGTGTGTTTGTTTGTAGCTATAAAACGACACCTAATCGGGAACAAATAAAGCAAAATAGCCAAAGAAGACACGTTAATTAATAATCAACTTTGTCGTTGTTATAGTAATATTTTTTTTTATCGAAAAAATAAGAGCCTGTTCAATAACAATGGTCGAAGAGCCTATTTTTCTTTATATTTGCACACATATATCGACTCTCAACCTTTAGATTTTTTAAAATAAGTACTTTAAAATATGTAAACCTGCCATATATATATATATATATATATATATATATATATATATATATATATATATATATATATATATATATATAAATATAAATGAATGTATAATTTGATGAAATTATAAATTGAATATATATATATATATATCATATATATATATATATATATATATATATATATATATATATATCACGTGGCTATAAACAACACTTAATCAGGAACAAATAAAAAAAGCAATTTTCATACCTCGAGAAGTCACCCTAATGTACAAAATTAAAAATGAATCTAGACGCATCTTCTAGTAACCACTTTCATTCCCACTATTCCTCCACTATCCCAGATAATGAAAAGTCGCTGGGAAATACTACATCTCAAACCAGATCTAAAAAATTTTTTTCAGGAACCCGACTTTCTAACATATCGTAGACATAAGAACCTTAAAGAAATCATAGGCAGTATCCACATATCAGAGGATAAAGTATTCCTTAATAAACCCAAAATAAAAAACAACTAGATTTTCTCAACTGTGTAACAAAAAAAGGAGCTTATGCTGTAACCATATTAGACACACGAATTCATTCACTAGCTCAGTCACTAAATCTACTTTCAAAATCTACCATGATTCTAACTGTACAAGCCATAACAAAATTTACCTCCTAGAATGCACACTATGCTAGAAACAATATGTGAGAAAATCTGAATGGCCCTTTCACTACTGAATTAATAATTTTCCTAACTGAATTAAGTTCGCTCCCCACGAAAGATTATTAAATATATTATTTACATTCCAAAATAAAATGGTAGATTGGAAAACATACCTCTTTTTTAAACACAGTTTGGAATAAACAAACAGATAAGGAAACATTGAAAAATGAACTAAACATGTGTGTCTGGAATAACAGTGTGTGAATATGAGAACATCTAAACACCTATTATGAACACGTGAATAATCGCGTGTATCATATTATTCTATGATTTCTTGACAATCTTATAACGATTATTAACACATTTTGATCTTTTTTTACCTTTTGGGACGAATTACATTAGACTTCTTTAACGAATTCTCGCTTTGATAAAACTGACGGTTTT